TGTTGCTCTTCCAAAGTAAACAAAATAAAATCTTGTTGCCACATACTACAGCACAGAAGAATGTCAGGAAGCCTGGTCTGGCTGGGAGAAATGCTAACAAACTCAGCTGCATCCAAGCAGCACTAGGGTAGAGGGGCACTAGGGTGCCTGTGGGAACTTCAAAGGATAAGTTACATCTGTATGGAAGAGGATGGCTTCTGGTCTCTGCTAGAAGAGAGGAGATTTCAGCCTCTCCCCTCCAGCCATTTGGAGATGCCCAGTGTAACTTCAGGTGCAGCAACTGCTTAGCCCCATTGACGAATTCCCTCAATCCACTTGTACGACTTGACTTTTGTTAGCTAAATGCTCTCCCCACCCAATGTTCTGCCAGTTTTCCATGTCAGTAACTAACATGCCCCATACTATGCACAATATGGCAAAGACAAGATCTCTGATTTCACTAGGTAGGGTGAAGAGTACATCTGGATTACCACCAGTGTAGCTCCTCTTTATTTCTTTTTATTAATAACACGATGACTCAAATGAGCAGTGTTTAAGTGGCTGCAGAACAAGCACTGTGCTGCCACACAAAGCAAAGGCATTGGAGGAGAGGGTTCATCTGAAACCCTGTTTTGCACAGAGAACGGGTGTTAAGCATCTGGAAGTATGTGGATGGTTTTGTTGTGCTGCAGCACCTGGCATAGGATGGATGAAAACCTGGTGTGCAAAGACCACAAGCTGCCAAGGTACATGCCTGACCACCTGGAAAGCAGTTGATAGATGGAAAACAGAAGAACCATGCTGGACTACACATTTATAATGTATTTTCCTTTGTCACATAAGGTTTCCTACAAGAATGTGAGTATAAAAAATATTCAGTGTAGTCCTGCTTGTGACAGCCTGAGACATTTTGCACATCTAACATCTTCCCGGCACAATGGAAAAGCATGAAGGAGAGACTTTGAGCCTCTCAACTCCAGAAATCACTCCACATGGCAGCAACCTCCGGTGAAACAGCTTCACAGCTGCTCTAAAGAATTCCAGCTGGTAACACATCCTCATGAGGAGCCATCTGCTAGCAAGAGTGCATCAATACTGCACTGATACGCCCACAGTCTCCACCTCACAGGCTATGAGGCTAGAAATGGCTAGGTGCAAACAGCACAGCAGGCTTTTGCCATCCAAAAAGCTTACGTAGTCCATGGCTTGAGAGATCTATATTCCCTGCAAGTTTGTAAAGGCTGGGGGAATCAATCTTCCAAAACAATTGCCTTCCCGGGTACATTTGTTGACAGTGAATCAGTTTGTGCTTATGAGCCCTTTCGTACACCCTTTGCATCCCACTTATGCTCTCAGATTGGTCACGAGTGACATAATGCGTGATGTAGGCATAGCTACCAAGGACTAAAACATACTCTTCACTGCCCACCTCTGCTCACCTATGTTTGCCAACAAGCCACAAAGAGATGAAAGAGCCACAGAGATGAATGGCCACAGTGGACTTTTGAGCTCCCAGAAACAGCCATTGTAAAAGGCTGGGAAGGAAAATCCCCTCCCACCCTGTGTCTGGGGAAGCGCGGGCAGAAGTTACACACACCACTCAAGAGGCAGCCTTGGCTGTATCACTTCATACTAAAGATCTTCAAAAGGCAGAAGAGATCCCCACTCTGGATGAACTCTGAAAATTTCTGTGTAAATATACTGAAGGAAGACATCAAATACAACTTTTTCAAAAGGGCCTAGATAAAAGCATGCTACTCTTGGTGATGGTACCTCTTGTAAAATGGGAGCCAGTGGTCCTGGTATCAGTGGCAGGCACAGAAGCTCTTGCGGTTCTGAACAACATATCCCACATACAGAAGCTCACATATTTTCCTGGCTATGTGCCTCAAAAGCAGAACTAGAGCATGAATCTTGCTGTCTCAGTGGGTAAAACCCACTGAATCAGCTCGGTACCAACCTGCCACTTAGGGAGGATGTTACTGGCAGAGGGGGAAGGACCCACATATGATTACCCTACTTCCCTCTTGAAAGTGTTGGGCTAAGCCAGAAAAGTTAACAAGGGTAAAAATTAAACTAGCCCTGTACTCATCAGATCTCTTGCTGGGTGACCCCTGGGAAACTAGTGCCCCACCACAGGAATGTCAGAATCTCCCATGTTGGCACAATAATCCAGGGACTGTTGTTGAAGGTTAGGGAAGTTTGTTTTTACAACTTTGCACAGTGCCTACAAATCTATCACCCACACTGCATCTGGTTCAGGCACTGCCCTTTGAATGGCTTTTCTGTTGGTGCAGTAATTAAAGGTATCCCAGGTGACACCTGATCCCTTATCAAGTTCATTAATTTAAGTGGAGTTATTTGGCTCTCTATTTTCTATACTTCATAATGTATTTCTAACCTTTAAAGTGACATAGGCAAGGACCAGATTGCAGGGGCGCTTATTAACAGCCTATTAAAATATTTTATGGCCTTTATTTTTACGTTGCCATAGGGAATCAAGTATTTTGCTGTTGTTAAACAGGCTCAGGATTTATGTTGCGAGAGCTTCACCACAGCCTAACACAGAGTACTGCTAGGAAATGAACTGGGAGAACAAACTCTCTTTCAGCTCTCCATGTGCTGTAAAGCTGTCATATGCAGATGGCAGCAAGGGGCCCTCCAATGCAGGTCCTTGGTTTGGTTGGCTTTTTTAAACATAAACCGATACAACAAGATGCAAGGCTCTGGGACCTGGAGGGTCTTTTTACCAATCATATAGACCCACAGAGGGAAGCTCAAAAAGGATCTTCATGGTCCCCTGTGAAATAACGTGATCTGTGGCTTTTTCTCCCAGAGCTGCTGTAACACATCGACATTTTGCAACTGAGAGCCAATGATTTTGGAAGAAGACCACAGTCTTCCCTGCAACGAGACTATGATTTTATCCAGAAGAAAACTACTATCTTACTGAAGAGTTTTCTAGAGACTGAAAACCCCTTGCTTCCCTAGGAAACCTCCATCAAAGGTGAATTCCCTTCTCTGTTACAAATCTGCACCTCTTCCTAAATCAAGCACATCCAACACTGAGACAACACATCTTGAATTTAGAGACTTAATGTTGTCCTGCTTAGGTATTCAGAAATTACAATCAAGTCCATTCTGGAATTCTTGCTTCGATAAACTTCCTAGAGTGAGTCTGGGGTTTACCTGAGTTTATATTATGTTTCTCGGTTTTTTCTCAAGCATAAAAAGTAATTTGTAATGAAGCAAAACATTTGGAAGAGTATCAGCAACATACTTAAAAGTATTTTAATTGCTTGTGTTTTCAAAACGTTTTAATGAAGTCAAATCACGAATAGACACTCATCCGCCAAAGAACCTATAAAATATTTTACTATGACATTATAATTGATGCAACTGGTTGTATAAATTCCTGGCATTTTAAACAAAGATACTAGAGATTAGCACAAGAAGATTATTCAGTAGGCAATTATTTGTTCTGCTTTAATTATAAGGGCTTTGGGGTTTTTTTTTTCTCCCCAGCTTTTAATTTAAATGTCATACCGCAACGCTTTCTAGACAGATTTTGTGTGGGTAACCTTAGAGAGACTGTTCTCAGCAAGCAATCCCATAGCACTAATGCATGACAAGTAGCCATATTAATAAATGTTATTAAATGTACCATTCCTTTAATGCCTCATCCAAGACCAAATGAAAGACTATCTTGTTGGGATCAGTCTTGGACATCCAGGGGGAACTACTCTTCCAATTTCTTTTTGTACTGAGCGATGTCAGGAGAAACAGAGGCACACCACAGAGCAGCCTGCCCACAACCTGGGCAAACGAGTGCCCTGTAGGTTTCCGAGTTCACTGGGGTCTCCTGCATTTGCACAGACTCCAGTTCTCTTTCCTCACAACCCTCATGGAAGAAGCTGTGCCTAAGAAACTAAAACTTCACCCGAAGGACCACGCCAGGTTGTGGTGTGCCAATGGCATTGCAAGGCTTGCCTGCTGAGGAAGTTTTCAAGGGGGGACTGACCTGGTTTAAATTAAAGCTGCATGAGCTGCTCAGTAGTAAAAACAATAACCTTGCTGAGAACTGCCTTGCAACTGTGCAATTCAGAGATCTCCTAACAAGCTCCCCTCACACCTCTTCTCCCACTTCTACCAAGAAGAGAGAGAAGAACCCACTTCCAGCCGTGGTGCGCACCACTCTCCTTTCCTGGGTGGGCAGTAAAGCGCTGACTCCCAACAATCCTCCTCCTGAAGCTCATTAGATGGTTTTGTTAATTAGCAGGCTCCCAATCTTACCATGTGCTGCACCTGAAATCCCCCTTGTATTTTTGAAGAGAGTAATTAAAGCCAGAGGTACTTGAATAAACAGGCACTGACAGAGACTAATATTCTATCAATATAATGAAGCAGCTTGGTAGACAGTAAAATACCCAGGTTTACTGGGCATTCAGATGTTAACCCAGTGCAAGGGCAAAACATGCCTTGGCTGAAAAGCACATCTGCGGATGTGGGCACCCCCAGGTAAATCCTCAGTAACACTAACGGAATTAATTAGATTATGGGGAGAATTTGGGTCATGAAATCTGTCAGGGGCCAAAACAAACAGAAAAGAAGTAAGGCTGCTGCACTCAGAGCACAGAGTAAGAGTAATAATCAACAGTTTCAACACCTTCCTGGTAGAGATTGCAATAATTAGCTGGTAATTACTGGGCACTCTTTACATAGAGTGACAAGGGGGTTACCTGCTCCAAGGACTGAAAATGTAGCTTTGCCTCCTTCATGCAAAATCAAATGGAAAATGCCACCACTGGCAGCCAAATCCAGTAAAGACAGTGCTTCATCATCAGCCACTTGTTGGTACCTATTAGAAACCACTCTGCAGTGCCATAACCCAATGTATTATCCCTGGTTATCACTGCTGTCAGCAGAGCTGGTTCCCCTGTTATGTTCCTCAGAGTGGAATGGGGGGAATAAACAGCAAAAGGGAGACAGGCAGAGAGCAAGAAAAAAACCCAGCCACTTACTTGATATTGTCAAGACATCCAGATTCGGGTTTCAGTATGGCAGTATGATGAAACATTTTATAGAGAGCAATCCCAAGGAAGATGACATTAAGCTGCAATGGAGTGAGGGGGGGGAGAAAAAAAAAAAGGATTATGTGACACAGCACAACATGATGGGGAGAAAGCCAGCTGCTTCTCTGTAACAGATGGGTTACTGTGTGAAATTAGCTCTCACTACAATTTTATAGCGACTGAATCACAGAAAATTTCCAAGCATTTTATAAGGTGAACTGGCCTGCAGACTGAAGGACTGGTGATGCTACAGCCTTACCAAAGCTGTGGCACTGTGTACGTTACTGATATCAGGCTGGTTCTAACCTCAACTGTAGTGCTTCATCGAGATGTTAGGGATAATGAAAAGTACTTGCTGCAATGGCTTTTCTGTGTCTGAGAGGTGTACAGGCGTGAAAAGTCACCCCAAGCATCTCGCTTAGCCAACCCCATTGTAACGAAGCATAGGCATCCTTTTCTGTGAATACACCTTTTAGACATGGTGTAATGGGGCAGATGGTCAGGGAAATCCCAACTGCTGAAGATGCTTAGCACAGCGTGAAGTTGAAAAACAAAAAGGAAAAGGAATTTGATTTGTTCTGTAAAAGATGCGATGATGTTTCAGTGCCTACGTGTTAATAAGGCTGCCAATTCCTGGAAAGGAGTTCCTTCAAAATCCCAGTCTGGAGTTTGAGACAAAATTAAAAAGGGAAGATACCTTTTTATGAATCAATTGCTTAGGGGAAAAGAAAACCCAACATTTGTAGCTGGTGGCGTGGCCCCTTCCTTGATATGGAAGGCTGCTGAAATGGCCCCCAGTTACAGGAGAAGCAGAGACAATGTCTGCATTGAAGTGGGAGTGCCTGGTTTTCTGTCCTAGCCCAACTGTAGTTAGTCAAAACAAAGGATGGTTTATTTAAGCCATATTGTAGCAATTAAAGTATAAGAAAACTCCAGCTGTCTCTAAAGTTGGGTTCTCTACCTTGTTGCTGTGTTAGCTGATATGCTGGCAATGTGTTAAACATGAAGTTATACGAGCTTCAACTTCTGCTAGGAAAGAAAAAACCCTCATCAGACTACTCTTCCAGTTTGGACTTTACTTCATCCCCCCCATCCCATATTTCTTTTTTTTTTTTTTTGTTTTTTTTCATTATCCATGCAAAGCTTTGCTCTGGAATTCAAAAATTGGGTGAGCAGTAAGTGGCATCAAAATAGAATTTGGTACTTTTAAATGTCCAATGGTAGTAACCAAACTCTGCAAGTGCCTGCTCCAAAGCTCCCCAGCCCGTTTTGATCAAGTATTTTGCAACGCCAAGAGCTTCTCATAATGAGGGTCTAATTGCTTGTGCCAGGCGGGGTCAAGGAAGAACATGCCTTTCTCAAATTAATCTGTGTAAATTAAAGATAAAGAGTAAAGGGACAGCAAAAGTTTTATTTCTTGACCTGAGAGATGGAGTAGTTAATTAGGAGTTCTTACCATAATTATCAAGGTCGCCGGTCCTATAAAGCTCCAAATGAAGTAGGTGTCAAGTCGGAGCCAACATCTGTAATGAAACACAGGGGAAAGAAGGCATTCAAGGACTGCACTCAGGACATACATCAAGACTGAGCAAGTGACAGAGAAGAATGTGAGCTGCAAAACACACCGGTGGGAGACAGGAAATATTACATTGCTTGTTCATTTAAATGCTGAATTATGTGCCCAATTTCTGACAGCGCTATTGATGGAGTAAGATAATTACTTCTAGAGGAAGCAGGGAGAAAATGGCACAAGGCTTATTTGCTAAGGCTTTCTGCATCTGTAAGCTAAAAATCCTTAAACTGAGGGGGTATTTTAAGGAAGGGGTCTGATGAACATCCATAGAGCTGCTTCTTTGCTTTATGCTCCTCTACGCTCTCCAACACTGATGCAATTCAAGCTGTCTGTCAGCTGTCAAGTGAGATGACATTTCTCCAGCAATCAGATCAGAGCAAATTTGGTGCAAATAGGAAGCATGAATTGGATAACAGGAGGCTGAGGTTTAATTAGGTTCAGCAACTTCTCCTTTAAAGTGTTTTATTTCCCTGAACCTCCAGAGTGTTTTGTTTCCACTAATGTTTCCAGGGTTGCATATGGTCTGTGCTATCGCAAGAAGTTGATTCATGGCCTAAAACTAAATTATTAATCGCTTAATTTCAACTGCATTTAATACTCCCCACATTTTTTAAGGCCCTTGGGAAATTACATTTCCATTCCTAGTTCATTCCAGGTGACAGGAAGATAAAATGGAAGTGACTGGTTACAAGACAGACGAATGTAAATTCCAAGAAAGTTTCACATGATGTTTAAAATAATAATATCTTGTCATGTTTGCAATGCTGCAAATCACAGCTCTGTTTATACACAAAGGACTGAGAAAGCATAAAACCACTCTTATACTAAACATCCAATGGACTTTCATAATTAGGCAAGTGACAGGAACTGTATACATGAATTTATCACAGCAGAAGAGAGAGCAGTTCTCACAAATGACAGCTCTAGTCTATGTGTTTAATGTTTTTCCTTTCCAATGGACTTTGCAACAGGCATAAAGGTCTGTGCCAGCAGCCCCACATGAGATGATCAGCAGGAGACGCCTGCAGAAAGAATAATATAGCGTGTCCTGGCTCTCTACGACTAGGAAAAGCCAAGATATGAATAAATTCAAAAATGCAGAGAAAGCTTCACACGTCTCTCCCTGACCATATAAATTTCAGGTCTCATCAGTGTTGAAGATGTATTGATGTATATACAGTTGCACCACTATTTGTCACAAATTAAAATACCGTCACTTCAGTGACTGTCATTCCTGAACTGCCTCTGCAGCTGCTCAGCCAGAATCTTCATGAGATAGCATCAAAATCTTAATGCAAGAGGCAAACAGAGGCTTTCAGAGCGATTGCAGGGCAATCTGGTTTCCTCCGTGGCTGTTGAAGTTCAAGGTGATTTAGATGCAGCTGGTAATGGAACGACATGAGTGACTTGAAACTACTCGAGTCTGATTCCCTGTAGGAAAGGGTTTATGCGATCATGACATCTGTGTATCACCCATAATAACATCTGAACCGTCACCCAATTGCAACTAGATTTGACAAAGGAATAGAGGTTTCAAGGATAATGAAGTCCCTGTAAAAAGTCCTCCCTCCCACCCCTGAACAAAGATGTCCGCATAGCAGCAGCTCACATTACATGGCATTTCAGACTCCATCTCCCTTAGGAAAAAAGTGTAACTAGTGTTTATGCCTCAACTGCTATATATAAATCAGGGAATATGCAGCTCCATCACTTTTCCCCACTGATAATGAGTGCTGGTGTGTGGGAGAGGACTCAGAGGGTTGTGATTTTTTTTTGTTCGTTTGGTTGGTTTGGGGTTTCTTAAATGAAAATATTTGGAACTTTTTTTTTCCCCCAGTTTAACAGTCTAAACAATTCCCAGCCCCTACTGCCCAGGAGTTGGGAACACAGTGTATTTTAGTTGCCATCAACATTGTTTTCCTTCAGCATAAAGAGTGACCTGGCTCTTGGAAAGCCTAGGAAAGAGGAAACACATAAAGCCTCTCTTTACTTCTTAAAGCATGACGGCTAGCCCTATGGTCACATCTGGAGCAGCTGGTTTTTAGTGCATATAGATTGGGACATAGGAAAAATCAGTGAAAGTTGAAATACAGAATGAGTGAAAAGCTGTGCCAGGCTGAGGAAAGAAGCGCAAAGCAATTGGTTTCTTTTCCAGACAGCCAAATGGATGAGATTTTCCACCCTGTTCCCCTAAAAAATCTGTCTCTTCAGTTGTGGAGAACGACTGAGTGACAAGAGATGGGTACTGTGGATGAGAAAGAGGAGAGGAGCCAGGTCCTGCCCTCAGGATAGGCAGGGGCCAGGCATGGAACAAAAGAAGGCCCTTCCAATAAGAGATGGCTTCACCTAAGCCAGAGTACAGCTTGTGAAAAACAGAGAAAACTTTTTTTTCCACCTCTCTGCACACTTTAAAGAATATGATGTCATTTTTTATTTGTTTGGACAGAAAAATCACTTTTCTGTGAAACCATGTACGATACTCAGTCTTGGGCGACTAAACGGAAAGCTGCAGGATTGATCTGCAGAGGGACTTGAAAAAGCTGGGAGGCTTGGTGGTCATCAGAAAGAGATGCAACTTTGAACCTGTTTAAGTCATACCTTATTAAAAATGCAAATTAAGAGCAAAACATCGAAACACAGGCATCCCGCCAATTGCGTTGCGAAGCTGTAAATTGCTAATCAGACAAGTACCACACTGAGCTTTTTTCTTCCCTTAAAACACAAAACCCCACATGCACAATGAGCTGCATAAATGAGCTCCTCAAAACAAGGAAGCAATCAGGCAACTCACTTCCCAAAGTTGCTAATCTTGGGCTGCCGAGTTACTTCTGACCCTCCACGTGCAGCTGCACTGTGAGCACAGACTTGCCACAGTACGAGTTTAGACTGTGCTACCATTAAGCAAACGAGCTGCTTCAGGGTTCAGAACAAGGCAGAGCGGATTATCAGAAAATGTGCAGATGCAGGGAACACTGTTCAAAACTCCACTGCTTCTTCCAAGACTCACACCAACGTATTCAGTCCTCATAATGAGCTCTGTGGCACTGCTTTCCTTTACTTTTTAATTTTCTCCTTTTCCACAGCGACAACTCACAATATTCACCTAAAGCTTTTCCCAAGTAATAAAGACTACAAAGAGTTTACTCTATTTTCTGCATGAAGAGAAATCAAATACTAAACTATCCCTGGTGTGCATTAAATATAACCAATAAACAATCATTAGCTGCCATTGGACCATAAAATTTGAAGAGCCCTAAACATATCATGTTGTTCATGGGAGCTCAGCGGTTTGTTTCACGTGGCTATACAGCCTCCTTGTCAGGGTGCAGTAACGGGATATGTATGCACCAGACATGCCTTTCAAGGGTGCAGTATAGGTTCTGCTTAATGGAGTTCAGCATCCACACTGCTCATGCTTCTTCCTCCAAACACTGGCAACAACGCCGCAAATAAAACAAGTTCAGTGGAGCCACCCAAGACAGACCGCATTGTTAGAAGCTATTTCTGAGCTACATTTACATGCATGAAATGTCGGCGGCTGGCTGATGGACTTGGAGGCTGTGTACATACACAGAGCTTTCATTTTGCTTTCTGACAGCTGGATTGCTTACCATGTATATCCTGCTTTATAGTGTTCCGAACGGGGGGAGAAGGGGGAAGAAACAATAGAGAGATTCCTGCCATGATGAATTTGATCACCAGTGGATGAATATACCTACAAGTAGGTTTTCTAAAATATATTGAACCATTCAAAGTGTAGCTGCTTTCCTCTGCAATTTGTAAGAGGCTTTGATATTAAACTCAGGAATATGGAATAGCTTCTTGCTGTCCGTTTTGGATGGCCTGCTTCTACAATGAGTCCTCTAAAAGGGAGATTTCTAAAGTCTTAATTGAGCTTTTAATTCTAGACACACGTTATTTTCAAACACTAACAAAAACTGCAAATGCTATTTTCCTTCTGCATTTTGCAGCATTGCCCACCACGATCCTTGACATAAATCTGGCCGGGGGATGGATGGATTTGGTTAACACACAGGACAAGGCACATGATGTGTAAAACCGCAATCCCAGTATTTTCCTTTCTTTGCAGCAAAACTTGAGCTGTGACTATTTAAGACTCAGGAGCTGAAAACCTGGCCTGTAAGAAATGGTCACCTGGAAGTTCATATGAGCATTGCCAGAATCACTTTGGCAATGTGGGGGACCCCCACTGTCTGCAGTGGAGCTCCCTGCTTCTCATCTTTACTTTAGAAACTACAATCAGAATAAGGTGAGATGCAACATTTCTGAAAGGACCAAACACAGCTCAGCTTGTTCACATGAATTGTCCCTGCTGGCCTGAATGGGATGATCTTTTAATGAAATCACTATGCTACTGCTTGGTTATAAAAGCAAACTAATCTCCTAATATTCTTAAATAAAATGATCTCCTAATATTCTTAAATAAAAAAATAGTAAAAGGAAAAGGATCGATCCCAATTCTTGAAATAGTTAAGTGTAAAAGAGTATCTTTACAGGGTAGCTGCTTTAAAATGTCAATATGAATAGTAGGGTATGGGACACTTCAGAAAACCACCAGCACCAAGTGATACGCAAAGCAACTGCCTGTTCCTGGCTATGTAATCTGGGCATGTGTTACAGGAGGGTTGGATTTAGAAAGGCAAATGAAATCAAGAAAACCTACACTGGGTGTCTAAGCAAATCATTCTGAGATGTATGAATGGTGGCACCAAATGCCAGGCAAAAAACAAATAACACTAACAGCTCCATAAGTCCTGCTTAAACAAATGCAGTAAATAATGGAGGGAGGCAAGTAATATATTCCAGAGTATGTTTTACAAAACCTGGCAAAACCAAGCAACTTCTTGCAATCAAATTATGTATGCCTGGCATATAGTTCACTGCAAATTCTAATCAGTTCTACCCTTCTAATAACATTACACTGAAAAATACATCATCATCCATCAACCAGATGGAGCATGATAGTTATACAAAACATTTTGTATGTTTTTTTATTTTCCTCTAAGAGAATGTGATAAAATTGTGCATTGTGGAATTAAAAATTAGAAATAAATATTTTAGCCTTTGCAAATATCTGTAAATACTTATTTGCAAAATATTATATATGAATGTTTAATTATTAAAAACACTACTTTATGCTGTGGGGAGGGAGACATATTTTACTGGCACACACACAGGACTGCTGCCTCCTCAATGCCAAAACAGTGAAGTTTTCTTGTTCGCCTTCAGTGAATTTCAGCCAAACTTTCTGCCTGTACCTTCCATGCCATGGAAACATTTGGGCACCCAAGGCCTGTTGGGAAGAGGCAGGGTATCCCATGGAATATGTTTATTTTGCTGTGCTTCAGAAAGGTCCATATATTAATTTAGCAGGAGCAGAAACATTTCAGCAATGGAAAGCTGCCGTGGTGCTTTGTGGGAGCTGTGGTTAAGGACTATGTATTCCTAGGCTTTACAGCCAGGCTATTCCGTGCCACTAACTCCTACAAGCTACACTGCTACTCTAGTCATCCCTACAAAACACCACGAAGGACCCTAGGTAAAGATGAAGGTGGATGCAAATCAACTGCTGTCTCACATCCAAAGCCAAGCCCTGGGCTTGGGAATGTCCTTTCGCTATGAGGGAACAAACTAAGACATTTTCAGCACCCAGCAGTTACAGAGTGCCAAATGTAGGCCTCTGTGAAGAGACAGGTCCTCTGTAGAAACACCACAGTAAGAATAAATTTGTCCTAAAAGTCAAGGCAAAATGTTTCCATATCTGATTCAATAGGTGCTTATATATTGCTTTAGAGGGGATGTGAATAGAAGAGCTGGTTGGGGCAGAAAGCAGGTGGCAGCTCATGGAAAAAATGGTGATCTATTTCTTCTCCAAAAATGGTGATCAGCTGTTGTGTTACTTATTCTTTGCCCTCTAGGCCTGTCAAAGTAGGTCAAACTACTTTGGATAAATTGGTAGAGATCCTTGAAAACTTACACACTCCTACCTTTATCTGTGTGGGCCATTTCCTTTCCACAAAGCATGACATTTATACAAATTCAGGTTGCTATTCTCACAAATATCCATCTGGGATCCAAACCTATCTGCTAGCATGGTAATGGATCGTGAGCAGCTCCACTGCTCTACAAATCTGCTTTTGAGAGAAATCAGGCTCATAAATACTAATAAGATTTCTGGAGAAAAATCTGCAGTTGAACTTTACAGAATATCAACTGCTGCCATGACCTGACAAAACTCATGCTAAAAAAGAGCTTTATAAACACCACCAGCTCATTGTCATGTACACCATCATACTGAGCCCTTAACTCAGTTAAAATGACATGGAAAGGCAGCCTGACAAGGGAAGCAAAACAAAACAAAACAAACCACCAAAACCAAAAACGAACAAAAAAAAGTCAATAAAAACACTACTGTAGCAAAGATGGCAAAGAGAATCAAAGGCTCCTCAATTTTCCCTTTCTTTTCCATTAGACAGTGGTGCATGATAACCTAAATTGTGCTTTGATACCAGCTTCAGCAGTGTTGAAAACTCTTAGGATTATTTATAATGATAAATGATACAGCTGTTCCAATTTGCGAAGAGTCTAATGCACTCCACAGTCATCACCTATTTTGCCTGCAGGCTCTATTAATTTGATAGAACACTTTAAAAAAGAGGAAGAAAGCAGTATTTCTTCATCCAAATAAGAAATACTCTTTGATTAGAGAAGGATGACCTTGCTGATTTAGTACTAAACTGAGACTTGGGACAGTCACCTCTGCTGATGTTATGCAATTGTGGTAAAATTTTCATCAACTGACTTCCCTGGAAAACACCTTTGCAAATCATTTCATAGTGGGGAATTTGTCCTGTGTCATCACAGCCTGCATTGGAGACCAAGAGATGAGGTAAGGAATGCCTCCTGGCTGAGCTCTGTCTGCATCAAGCCCTCTGGGCTCCTCACATCCCTTCATCATCCCCACTCCCACCTCTCCTGCCCAGGTCCAAGGAACACCAAGCTCACTCACACTTTGTCCGTGCCATAGCTCCGATAGTCCACTGCTGCTGACACGGCCACAATCAGTGCAGGCATGCCGTAGCCCACCAAATAGAAGTACTTCCTCCGGGAGTGTTCGCTCTCAAAAACCTCCACCAGCATGATGTAGAGCTGCACCCCCTCCAGGAACATCCAGGTGAAAGCTGCCAGGAAGAAGAAGTGCAGGAGGGCAGCAAAGACGGCACAGGCGATCTGTGTGAGGATTGAAAAGAGCAAGGGAAGGTGTTTGTACCATGATGAATTAATGCAACAGTCTGGACTACTCTTACTGGGAGGTTTAATGAAAATGAGGGAGTTCTTATCTTCCCTCCCCGAAGGCAGAACCTTTTTTTCACTTGGAAAATGTGTGTGAATTATTTTAAAATAGACACATCTTCGCATATATAAATTATATTAAAAGACACAAAGGTAGGTATGTACACAATCTGATAAATAAACATATAAAGATGCACAAAGTATATGTGCATTTTTACAACCTGCTTATTAAACAGACACACACATCATTTACAAGCAACACACATACCGCCTCCGAAATCACAGCAGGCATCAGCATGTGACTCCCAGTTAATAACCAGGGGCCCAGCCCTGTAAGGACTCATGGATGGAATTCAGACAGCGCTGTAATGTATCTCGCTGCATGGTCAAACACTGCACATGTACTGAGGTAAGAGCCTGGGACAGAAGCAGAAAGCTCTTTGTCTCTTACCGGCTGGTCAGTCCGGTTGATGCCGATGAGGAAGAGGAGTTCTGCCACGAAGAGGCTGATGCACAAGTTCTTGTGAATTGTGTTGCGGTCGCTCTGCAGTCCACGGAAGAAGCAGAAGGTGAAGATGCAGATCAGGAGGCAGACCAGTGACAGCAGGATGCCAACCCATGTGATGAAGTCCAGGAGTAGGTCATGGACTGCATCGCTGTGCTGAAGATAAAACCAAAATATCTCATCACTGCATGATGCATGACTTTTAATTCATTCCAGACACAGAATGAGGCTGCCTGAGACCCTTCCCCAAATATTTGTACCAACTCACCAAGCTGTGGCACAAAGTACCACTACCAAAAAGATTAAATGGACTTAAACTTGAATCCTGCAGCAAGAAAGCTGCAATCTGAAACACTGACTCCAAAGCATCTTGCAAGCTGCAGATGCCCTGAACAGACTCAGATCCAAAAAAATCCTAGAAACAATGATGCTGTTGTTGAAAATACTGAGATGTCATAAGTTAGTCTTGTGTGCAGCTCCATCTTTCACAAATGTGGCAAAGGAGCATCTCGACACACAGAAAAGAACCATCAAACGCAGTGAGTCAAGTGTAAAAAAGTGTTTCATGCTAACAACATCATGTCCAACAACCCCAAGTCCATTACAACTATTTACTAACAGTGAAAAAAGACTCCCTTTAAATGTTCACAGAGATGTATGAGCTTGAAGGCTTGGAGGTTTTGGACAGAAAGAGATTGCGTAAATTTATTTTTTTTTGTTCCACAGTGGAAGGACAAAAGAAGTCTGATTTTTCTTTTTCAACACTAGAGTTATATTTTAAAACTCCTGGGAAGTCAGATTGATCCCTAAAATGTTACCCAAGAAAAAAAAAAAAGACAGACCTTTAAACATGAATATGCTTTTAAACTGTGTCAGAAAAATGATTTTAAGACAGCCTGGAAAGCCAGTGATTCCCTGTGATGAAATCATAACATGGTTTTATTCCAAAGCCATGCAAACAAAGCCATTTGCTGTGGCAAAGTAAGGCAGCAAAGTTTTGTGAGGGGCAACATAGGTGTGCCTTGGCTCTGCTGATAAAACACTGCTGCATTGCTCCTGAGCTTACACTACATGACCCTCACGAAAAGAGGAGGGGAGTGATGGGACCCTCTTGGTACGAGTATCCTACTACCTTATTCCTTATTCAGGCTGTAAAACTCACCCGTAACTCCCCAAGTTTCCAGGAGATGCAGTGAAATTAGAGGTATCATCACTTGGTAAAATGTAAATAAGAAGTGAGAAATACACGGTGAGTCAGGAGATAACTGCTTCGGGCTAAGTGGTTAGAGTCAATGAGCTGAGGAAAAGACTGGCTGGGAATCTCTGGGGGCTTTCCAGAAAGACCAGAACAGCCTGAAACCCAGCTTTGTGGTCCACCAGGCTGTGTTATAAACGGTAATCACATTCCCCACCACTTCTGGCATTTCAATGACTTAGGCTGGCAAATACAATAGTGTCACACTTCAAAAAGCCAGGGCAAACTGGAAACATTTTTCACTCCATGGGATAAAAGCTTATGACAGATGGAGGGAAAAGGTGATTAATTTATCCATTTTCTTTGCCTGCCTGCCAATGATAAAGCCACATCAAATGTCAGGCCTTTCCCAATATACACTCTGCTATGTCAGCACCTGTGAGAAACAACTCAAACCTTTCAGCTGTTTGGCTTTATCGGCATGAGTGATAGGCATCAAATGATAATGAAAGATGAGGAGTGACTCTCTGCTCCATCTCTTCCATGTTGGAAGTTTTCTCTTCAGAGAGACTTGGAGGTAGAAAGATGGAGAGCTTCCTTGCCCAAACACTCGAAGCTCCTCCTGAGTGCTTCCAGTATCTAAGGAACTAGAGGTCACAAGTCCAACAGGGAGACAAGAAATCATTGTGTGCTTTCCGTAGATCATGACAGAAATGCCTATTCCAGCCAGCTCATCCAGCAGCGCCCAGAACACTGACAAGATGAAGCACATCATTTTCCTGGTGGCTGCGCCTTGCTTTATCTCAGTGTCATTCCAGCTCATCCATCCCTCTTAACTCTGTGAAAAAATGTTAATGCAAACCTTGCACCTTGCAAATCATTCTTTCTTTTGTCTGACGCTGCTGGAGAATGGCAGGAGAACATCTCCCCGAACAAGCCCTCATCTGATTATTATATTGCCCCGCCAGGCTGAAGTGACCAAGAGCTCTTGGGCTGGGCGAGCAGGACAAGACAGCTAATGGAGATGCTTACAAGGAGAAAGCAACCACAAGGACTTTGGCCAGATGCACCCACCCCACCCAGATGCAGCCAACAGCACAGATTCATCTATCCCAAGACAAATTTAGCTTGGTGCAGGGAATATTCTCTGAGGGCTTCTTTCCCTAGATGGGGAGATGAATCTCAAAGGTCTCAGCTCCTGCACCTCTTATCACAAGACTACAACTCTGCTGACTTTAATACACGATGTAGGAATTACAGGTGTTTTTTGCTCCTGAAGTGGGATCCTACCATCTGGGTCCATGGTCTTCCTCAGGGAAGGGCTGCTTGCCCAAGAAGCTTCCCATACTTAGCAATAAACATGCTTCATTGTTGTATTATTATTATTATCATCACTCTCACTACTCCTCTTTTTAATATTAATCGTAAAGATAATACTGACTTTATGTACATAACACTCATCCCTGGAGCGCTGGGAAACAACCATAAAACCAACTTCACCATAATTACAAGCTCCCTCCCCAAACTCAACGAACTCACAAAAGAACAAACAAAAAGGAATAATAACAATAAACTGGGAACAAGAGCAATTTAAAAACACCTCAGGGGAAAAAATATGAATTCGTATCTTTTCTAGTAAAGTTCAAGAGAAGAAGTGAGTTGAATTTTAAAAGCTGGGTACACTTCATCCTTTTTGGAATGCCCAATTTCAGGTGCTACTGCAGAGCCAACGGGTCAGGGAAGACTGGCATCCTTCCCAGGACAGTGCCAACTGCCCTCAGGGCAGGCACATCCAGAGTTTTTACATCAGCAAGTACAACAAAATGGAACTTGACTTTTGCTGGAGACTGAAACTTGTAAATTACTGCAGTGTCACCGGCCACAAAGCAGAATAATATGGGAAAAGAAGGAATAGTGGTAATCACTCCCAGTGCTGTGAGCTTATCCTTGCCATCACCCAACCGCTGTGTGACAAATAAGGGAGCAATATACCTGGCTTACACAGCTGGTACAATGGACTTCCAGAGTTAAATATGATTCACAGCACACTAAGATTTTGAATTTGGGTCTTAAGTCTCCAAGCCTGGCCCCTTAACCACAGAAAAATGCAAAAGGAGCAAATCTTCCCTTTACCCTGTCCATCACTGTTCAAACATTCCTTGACTGAGGATAAAATAGCTCTGTTGTGCATGCTAATCACTGAATCACAGATTGGATAAGGTTGGAAGGGACCACCACTTGGTCCAACCTCCCTGCTCAGGTCCAACTAGACTCTGTGCTGTTGATCACGACCCTAAGGGATTTGTTGTTCCTCGAAGATCCCTAATGACATCCTTCTGGAACAATACAAGCCCTAGGGTCTCTAAAGCATGCAAAATACTTCTGAAAACACCAGTGTATCGATAATAACCAAGTCTTGTTTCTCAATGGTCTCCACAAATACCTGAGTGACGACATTACAATTTCTACATCCTTTTATATATAGCAGAGTTATATATATATATATATACACACACCTGAGGAACCAGAAGAGCCCACAAGAGGTATCAGTTGTCAGCCCAAGAGACAATTTCCTGAAAGCATCAATCAAAGACCTCCTTGCCCAAATGTACCATGGCTGACCAGACTGGTGCTACATGCATGCAAGACACTGAGTTTTGTTACCACTAAGCTACACAAGCTTTACAGTTAAAATGACACACAGATTACTTTCGGCACAGGAACAACTTGTTGAATAATTGAAAGGGATAAAATAATCCACTTCAGTTAAAGGGTTTCTATATTAAGTATGTTTTACATTTATGATTTAGGTATGAGCCTGAACTAAAGCCCAGTGAAAGGAGATGTCTCTGGCTTCAGAATAAAGCTCTGTTTTTGCTCCAGTGGGGCCAAGAGCAGTAGGAGAAGAGTGTTGATGGAGACTCGTGCAGGAGGAGTTACAGGAGAACTGGAAGCAACCACAGCAGGGTGAGCAGGCAGCCCAGATATTATCCAGGCTGGGAAAATCAATGAGGAGCTCTGGCAGTGCCTGTACACCAGAGCTGAGCTAATAAAAACAAATCCCAGGGAATGTCAGCTTATGACAGAATGGCTCTCCCTGAGATGAACAGCCATTTCCTCCCTTATTAAAAACATCAGCAGAAGAAAACAGCAGCCAAACTGAGCTGCCAGCAGCAAAGGACACATTCCTTTGCCTAATCTGTCCCTCCAGGAATGGAAGAAGTAATATCTTTGGGGGTAGAGGAATAAGTAAGCAGTAAATAAAAACACAGTGTCATAAACTAGCTCAGATATGACCGCTCGGCGCCTGGTGGGAGCTGGCAGTGTACTGGGCTGGGCAGAGACCCAAGTGGGACAGGTTTGAACTTCTGTGCATTGCTGATACTGCTTCCTGGATTTGTAGCTATTTGGGGCCATGCAGGGTCCCTCTGTCCTTTTCCCCCCATCGCTGCTGGTGAGAGAGGATTACTGCCATATTACTGCCTGTAATGCTTAGTGGCTAAGTGCAAAGGGCTACTTAAGAAGCAGATGCGTTTGTAAATGTGCCAAAAGCATCAGCTGGGATACATGGACTGGGAGGAAACCCCAAAGGACTCCTGCAGTGCGTCTGGGCAGAGGAGTATGTGCTGGGAGGATCCTTTTGCTTTAGCATCCATCCTCTCCATCTTTGCCCTGAGGGAGTTAGGCAGCTCTGCTCCACAGCAAACAGTCCCTATGGGCCTGGTAAGTATCCTCTCTGTACTCTGCAAAGACAATGCTGTCAGGGCACCATCAGGTCCTAACCCAGGAATGAAGAGAGAATAGTTCTCACCTGAAGTCCCCATGCAACACCACTGTCTTCAGACTGTGGTCATTCATAATAAGGTTCAGATCCCCAAGCACTCCTGCAAGGTTCTTTAGCTCACTTTCCTCTCCTTGCCTTAGTCCACAAAGCTGACTTCATATTCTGCATGGGCAACAC